GCTTGTTTCAAAGGTAGGAAAAAAACAACGTGTGAATTTTAGGATGGAATATACTGAAAGAAATTCAAAATGAACAAATTTATCTCTAGGAAAGTGAGAAAATTAGAGAGAAATTACGTTTAGGAACCACCTACTGTGGCTTTTAATAACCTTGATCTTCTACATTTTAGTTTGCATATATTTATATAATATTTGGAACAGAAAAGTGCATTACTTTCTCTCAGTGTAATTGTGTGTCTGAATAGGATGTAGATGGCACATGAGTGTCAAAGGCAAGCAAATGCTAAGTGGAATGCGAAACGTTCGGTTGCCTTCTGGCATTTTTTAAAGGATATCAGTGGGAGATTTTCGCATTTTAAATAAAAAAAATAAAAATAAATTTAAAAATTCAAATTTAAAATATTTATTACCGAAAGGAGCACAAAAATAGGAAATAAAATTAATTTCCTGGTGCAATAACATTTTAAGCATAAATTGGGTTCAAATTTCTTTACTTTGTTTAACCAATTTATATAATTTCCATTGATTAAAGACTCTATAAAAATTCAACGTATTTAATTCTTAAACTTCATTCGTTCATATTTCTTACAAATCTGTTCTTTGGCTTTTCTTTTTGCTTTTCCCTAAAACAATTCAAGTTGTAAAAGTTTCAGCTTAATTGAAAAATAGTTTTTTGGGAAAGTTTTGTTCCATTAAAGTTTTTAATAAAGTTTTGCTGTGCACTACAGTATTTTCCAGTCTATTCTCATTCCACTTTTGTCAATGCTCGTAGAACACCCACGATTTTCCTCTGCAGTTTTTCCTCACCGCACACGTTCGGTTTTTCCTTCCGCTCATTAGGCGTCACTCGAAGAAACTCTCGGATGAACAAAAAAAGAGATGAGAAGCGCAGCTCGAGTCTTTTCCCTTTGTCATGCTTTTTTCGGGTTTTGTTGTGTCCCGCTTCACACGCATTTTCGCATTTTTCTATGCAACGTCACCGACGACACCGACGTCACACAAGCGGAAATGAGAGCCTGCGCCATGCATCCTGCGCACTCGCTCTCTAGTTTTACTCTTTCTATCTCGCTCTCTCTATCCTTTTGCCATAAAAATTCCCCTAAATTCAGTTAACATTTAGTTAACAGAAATATAACAGTTAATTTAACATTTTTTATGGCAACTCTAATATATTTTGGCCCGATTTGTGTGTGTTTTTAGGTGTTTTTCTTGATTTTCCTCTGTTTTCCTAGTGTGTCTCTGTGTGTAAATTACTCGATAGTCTTTTTGAGTGCAATTTGATTTTGATGTTGACTTTTTTTTGTGCACTTGTTTTTCCTGTTATTTTGCAGCTCAAGACCAATGTTTGTGGATTATTCGGTTGATATAATGATACAGTCCTTCAGTTTGTTTATCTGCTAGGGCTTTGGGATATAGGTTTCAATATATGTAGAAAGGATATAACGTATACGACGTGGTGGCTTTGCTTCGATTTGTTTGGAGGTAAAGTGCACTACTTGATTGTTCCTTTGTTTATCCTGATTGTCAGTCGAGGTTGATCTGCACTTTATTTTCATGGCTGAACAGTTATTAGTTTCAATGTTTTATCTTTAACAACAAATAAATAAACAAAGGAAAGTAAGCGTAGTAAATTATATTTTAAAAGTTCAAGTGTGAAGTTATTTGCCATTAAATTTATGGCATAGTTTTCTTACCAATCAATGTGTCTGAAAATATTTTCTTTGCTGCCAAAATTTAAATGAACGTTTATTTTATTTTTAACACCTGGAATTTGGAATTCTTTTGTGAATTGTTGGCATTTCTCAGTGTTTCGGTGAGCAGCAGTCTTAACTCTGACAGGGAATGCCTTTGGGCACTTAGAGCAGCATTTTCCCTGTACTTTCTTCATTCCCTTATCCTTTTACCCCCAGTCCTAGTCCCCCGGTAAGCTGGCTCTTTGCTTTGCATTCCATAAGCCACAAAGTATGAGTAAGCACTTAACCCTTTTCTTCGCCCACTTTCTCCTGACTTCCCTGCATCCTGCTTCCTGCATCCTGCCGCTACTCCTGCTGCTCCTCCTGCTACTACTTTCTGCGCTCTTTTCACTCCTGCATTCCTGGCACGCATTGCAAACCTAACCTTTCACATTTATGCATTGCACACGCCCTTCTCTGCTCTGCTCTGCTCTCCACTAGTTAGTTTTATTCAATTTTTGCGCTATTTTTACTGATGCAATTTTACAGCGGAAGCGAGGAAATCGAGACAGGGTTACACGGGGGAGAAAGTGAGAGGAGGGACATGTGCCAAGCTCTCTCTCTCTCTCTGTGTGTGTGTGTGTGAGAGGATAGAAGAGGCTGCCTAAGTGCTTGGCCCATTAAAGTATGCAATCATTTTGCGGTTAGTTGCCCTTGTCCTCCTACCGCCTCATGCCTCATACCTTCCCTGTCCACCCCTTTTTTCCATCTTACAATTTCCTCTCAAGCTACTACTACCCCCCTCTCACCTCCCCTTGCAATTTCCCCGCGTTTACGGCTGCATAAATTTCGCCACTGGCATTCGCCTTTAACCACTTTGCTAATCCATTCTAAAGGTCGCCAGTTCCTTGAAAGGATTAACGGCTCCTAAGGTGTCCTTTCGCCTATTAACCGCGTTTTTCCGCTTTTTTAACCGAGGTAAACATTTTAACAACCTTCCACCATTTTTGAGTTTATTTGATAGCTTAATATTTGGTTTGAGGGGGAAAATAAATATTTGCTTCATTTGAAAAATAGTTTTGCATGATATTTACAGGAAAACGAAATAACAGCCATCCAAAATGAATAATAAAAGCTGAACTTGCTAAACGTTTATTAATTTAACATAAATATTACCATTATTATTTTTATATGACAATTTATTCGACATATCAAATTTTTGAAATCTCATAACTAAGCCAAAAAAGCATTCATTTTAATTCGGAAAGCTGTTCTGTGCTAGTCTTTAATAGGTTAAAAAATCTGCATACTCAATTTAACATTTTTACAAGTTTCAAAATTTTTGTAAATTTTTTAAAATTTTAACGATGTTACCCCTTATAAAATTTTGAAAAAATTTGAAAAATTTATTTTTTGGCCAGACATTACTAGATCGACTCGGCGTGAAATTCTGATCAATAATATATGTGATTTGTAGGGTCGCAAATGACTCCTTGACATCATTAAAAGCGTCTGACTAAATTATTATATCCTAATCCTTGCTAATCTTTATATACAAATAAATTTAATCTAGTTACTCTCTTGACTAAATGTATTCAATTTATTGATTCCTTTACTTTTTTACATCATTTAAAATACATTTTCTTTTATAGCCAATAGTATTTTTCAAGCATAAATAAAAGTTAAACTTTATGAAATGCGATATTATTGAGGCAAGCACACTAATTGAATCAAAAATCTGTTTCATCTATGACATTTTGTGCCATATTTTCTGCTTTGCCGGTTGTGTGGGCCAAGTTCATTCATAAACAAATTAGTGGCATTCTGCTTCTGCTTCTTCTACTTCTATTTCTTGGTAGTATGTGTGTGTGTGTACCCCCCACAATTAAATCGAAAACACAACGCATTCCCCTCCCCCCGACGAATACCCCGCGGAATTCTTAGCTCGTGTAGAAGCTACGTATAAATAAATAAATAAACAAGCGTTTAATTGAACCGGAAATTATTGTGTGGGTGGGTTGTGTGTGTCTCTGTGTGTGTGTGTGTGTGTTGCTGCTTCTTCTTCTACACCATCTCGTGTGTATTTCTTATTGGAATTTGTTGTTCACATTTATTTAGTTTTATTCTTTGCGTTTTTAGCTCTTCAACTTGTTTGCCCAGTTGGTTTATCGGTTTGCCAAGATGGAATTAAACAAGCTAGTTGCTTGCATGTTTGTTTGCTTTTCTGTATAGAAAAAAAGCAAAAAAATATATATATTTATGCATATATCTACATGTCTCTGATTAGTTTAGCAGTTTTTGCTGCAACACATTGACAGGAATTTAAGTTTGTAAGAGGTTTAATTGAAGTAATTTTTGTGGGATTTATATGGGAATTAAACTAGTGAATTTACTATTCAATTAAATTCGTTTTTTCTTGCTTTTATATAAACTTTTTACAACCAGTTAGACAGCTGTTGGATTAAATTGAAATGAAACAATTATTTATGGGGTTATGACACTGCACTAAACTTTTATTTGCATTTACTTATCAAGCAAACATTTTAAATAATCAAAATTAAACACAATAATTAATTTATTACTTTTAGGATATTATAAAATCCAAATAAAATGCATATTTTATTTATTAAAAAATAAGTGTTCCTGTAAAATCAAAATATAATATGAATAAATAATAATAATATCCATTATAATAAGCAGTCTAGCTGTAAGATCAGTAGTGTAATGTCATAATGCCAATAAATTTTACATAAAATTTTAAGACTATAAATAATACAATATATAAATAATATAATATGTTAATAATACAATATATAAATACTAAAATAGATATAATTTAAAGGAAATTAGTGTGACCATAAAAACAACAAAGTAGTGTCATAACACCATTAGGGTATTTAGCATTCAATATTTGTGTGTCGAGGAAAATGGGGTTTCCCTCATTAATATGCAACCCCTCGGCATTAGCGTGATATTTTCGATTTGCATGTAGGGGGTGTGTGTAGTATCATCTGTATATGTGTGTATCTGTGTATATTCGGTGCTTCTTTTACAGCACTTTCTGGTAAATTACAGTTGACAGTCGTTGCATGTTCGACTTACGATACCCGACAGTATGCCATTTCCATTAATGGCTGCTGAGACACGCCCCGAAACTTGTTGATAAATTAAATATAATTTGACGGAATTTATTCGACTCGAGTCCAGACAATCTCGAGAGCTATCTCTTCCCCAGATAATCTGTAGTAGTTGATCACCATAATTATCTCTAATGTGGCGCCTATAAAACATCCTGCTGATGGCCCAGACATGGTTAGTTTCATCAAAATGTCTCGAATTGTGGCAGCCTTTAATCGCACTGTTGTGGAATATTTTAGGAAAACCAGTCTCAATGGTTTCGGCCTGCTTTACTTCATACGAAAACGTCGAATTCAAAGAATCTTTTGGTTTTTGTTTATCAGTCTGGGAATTATATTTGCCAGCTATGCAGTTTTTGCCATGATTCTGGAATTTCTCAGTTACTCAACTGTAACAGATCTCTCTGAAATTGAAGCGTTGGAGGAGGAATTGCCATTTCCTGAACTTCAAATTTGCAGTGGCTATAGATTTAGTCATAGGAAAATGCAAAATTATGCTGAGGAGTTAAGTAAAACTAATAATAATTCCCAGAATTATTATATGAAGGAACTTTCTTTACTCTCTGCTTACTTTGATCCTTTATCTGTTAAACTAGAAGAGGTGGAAAATGTTTCTAATCTTCTAAGCAAAGAAAATATTACTGCTCTGTTGTTAAACTTATCTCCCTCCTGTGAAAGATTGATATTACGCTGTTCTATAAATCAATTAGCTGCTAATTGTACGGAATTATTCACTTTAAGTCTCGGCAATAAAGGAAATTGTTGCGTTTTGAAGAAGGAAAATCTCACAGGAGAAATGAAACTTTTCCTAGACTCCTCGAATGAAGATGAATTTCCACTGGCTGACAATTTTCCTAGCTTTAGTATACATATACCAAGCTGGTTGGGTAGAATTACCATTAACCCTGGCGAAATGTCAGCTATAGAAATAGAAGTTATGGAACTTCAGGGAAATCCACAACTAAAGCAATATTCTATACAGAAGCGGGGATGCTATTTTCCCCAAGAGAGCATAAGTAGGGAAAAGTGTCTTAATGAGTGCAGAATTAAAGCAAGTTTAATTAACTGCCAGTGTGTGCTGCCTTTTCCCATACAATTAAGTAATATTCAGCAAAAATATTGCACTCTGGCAAACATATCCTGCCTACAATTGGTTGAGGGTAAGTCTACAGACTTTCATTTCTATTGAAATTAATTTCATTTCAATTATAAACCCAGAGAACTGGTCACCATCACAGTCCCCAAAATGCCTGCCGCTGTGCAATCAGTTAGTTTATAGGCTAACCAAACGAGTCCAAGGACATTTGCATCCTTGGAGAAGTGAATTAAATATTAAATTCAAAACGCCACGAAGGCAACTATACAAAACGGATAACCTCTACCCTTGGTATCAGATGTTGTGTGAGTTTATTTATGGTTCAAACAAAAGGGATTTGATTTATTTCATGTACTTTTTTTTATCCTCCTCGAAAAGCAAATGTTGGCGGAGTCCTGGGCGTTTGCATTGGCTGCTCTCTCATCAGTGGCTTCGAGTTGATCTACTTTATGGTGTTTCGCTTTTGGTTCAACTATCTGCGGCAGCCAGAGATTTAATTAAGCTAAATGTTGCACATACGCCGTGTGGGCAATTTTGTGCAGTGATTTATTTCAGCGACAACGTGAGCAAGACAGCAACACATTAATCTTGATGACTTGAATTCTCAACTTGAGGCGAAATAAATGAAGGGAAAAGCAAAAGTAAAAGCAAAAGGAAAAAGGCAAAAGAAAATCGGTGGTGGAAAGGGGTTAAGGATATGTGTGGGTGGGTGGGGCTTAGTTGAAGTGTGTCGATCATCAAGGTTAAGTGGTCTGCTGAGCCTCTTTTTCATCGTCTCGGCTTGTTCGACTCAGTCATTGCCTGGGGGCCACTTGATGACTACTGAATGGCAACAAAACCAACAACAAATTGTATAGACACTGAGGGGAAAAAATATAGTAAATAATAGTAAATAAAAATAATAATAATTATAAAAAATAAGGCTTTACTTTAATAAAATTCCAGGGAAACTCAGCTTTAAAGATTTTTGCATAGAATGCAAGGTTTTATTTTCAATTTAATACTTATAGAGGCTACATTCTATAAAACAAAACAAAAATAAATAACATCTTAAATGTTCTTCTAAATAATTACTAAAGAATTATAAATAAATTTCATATAATATTAAATTATCACAGGTTTTTCTATACAAGACTTAATTTATAAACCCAAAAGTTTCTGTTCTGTTTTGTTTTTATATAGACGAAATATATACAGTATTTATTTAAAAATAAAAGAGTTTGTTGAAATATATTTTTCTAATTTATATTTTATTATCTTATTTCTCTTATTTATATTTATATATTTCCTATCAGTGTACTTTGTATGAGTGTGAATATACCTTTCCTAAGTGCACTTCAGCGTGCGTTTTTCTGTATTGATTTTTTGTACTCTCTCTCAAACAACTTGTCAACTTTTGAATAATAAAATTTCTTTGCTTTCTTCTCTCATTGCAGGTGAGTTTTCCCAAGAAAATGGTACCCCCTATATTACTATGTCGTAAGTTTCCTTTATATTTAATGCACAAAGATTTAATTTTTTTCAAATTCTTTGATAACAGAATAATGTTAATTTTATGTCAGGTAACAGAAAAGCTTTTGAAAAGCTAGGGAAAGTGGGAAAATCAGCTAAATACTAACAGTGCAGTTGAGGAAAAGCTTATACGGAAAAGCTTTTCCTTTTGGGGGCCTGACATTGTAATAAAGAACATATAATTTTTATGGGGGGCCTCTTCGCCCATCACAAATCATGTTCAATCAATTGAAATGTGATACAGAGAAGCTTCTTGAAATTGAAAAGCTGTTGGGAAAAACTCCAGCCATGAATTATCAAAAAAAAAAGAAAATAATCTCTGGTTCGAGCAACATAAAAGTTGCAATCTAAGCACAGGCACAGCTGCACACACACCACACACACACCACACACACACCACACACACACATTTAATAGCCTCCGTCGAGGACAACGCCCATTTCGCAGGACATTGGAGCAACGAAGGCGAACAAGGAACGTCTCCATTAATTTTAAAACCGCCAACTTATCAGGGCAACGCGCGTCATGGTCCTAAGTGATTTTCCTTCAGCTCTCCGTTGATTTACGAAGGGAAAGCGCAGAAGAAGCGGATATCTTTGCTCTATATATATTACACACATAGAACGCAACCGAACGCAAGGACATGCGATGCCATGTCCTTCACCTTCTCAGCCTCCAAAAAAATTATACATAAATATCTCCGAGCAGGAACCTTCGGCATTCCTTTTAAAGTATTCCATATGCGGCGGCGGCAACGGCTTCTGTCGCCAGTCCTGTCCTGACATTATTATTTTTTATTCCCTTTATTTCCTTGCCGGCTGATGAGCCGCTGATCAAAGGCATTCCCAGCGAAAAAGCCATCCTGCCTGGCATTTCCTGGAACAGTTTCGGCCCAAAATTCAATTGGTCTTTGCTTCGTGTGTCACATTTCTGTCAAATGTCGAGTAGTTCGATTTAGTTTTGGCAGCTAATTTAAGATATTTGATAGGTATTTAGCTCTTGAGTAGGCCTAAGTTCGGGAAGACATGAAAAAGGAGCAAGTTTGAAGATATTTAATACCTTTAAAGTCTGCCTGAGAGTTTACTATAAATATTTTAGTTGGGTTTGAGGGAAATAGGTGAAGAAAATATGTCCTTGGGTGCTACAGAGATAACTTCGGCTTTTAAGATTATGAAAAGGTGCAGGAAATTAAGCGACACAATTTTATATTATACAAAAAATTAAATTTGATCACAATTCTTATACCTTTCATATTCCATTCAATATTTTTAAGAAAGTTTTTAAGGGTTTTAAAAATTGTAATAATTTCTAAAGCATCTAAGATGTTTTTGTGTTACGTATTTAATATGATACAGATACCAGAATTTATTTTTAAGAATTTCGTTACTATTTATATCTTTGCAAGGGTATTATTTTAGTTTTAGGCTTGTAACCATGTGAAGAAGTCATTTCCGACCCTATAAATCATATATATTCTTGATCAGCATCAACAGACGAAACGATCTAAACATGTTTTGAAGAAAAATAAATTTTAATAATTTTTCCAAATTTTATAAGGGGTTACATCAGTAAACATTTTCAAAATTTGGAGAAAAAAAAATGTAATATTTTAATTTTTTTAATTGAGTAAGCAGATTTTTTGATATTATAAAAATTAACATAGAACTGCTTTCTGAATTAAAATTAAATTTTTTTTGGCTAAGTTATAAGTTTTTAAAAATTTGATGTCAAAAAATTGTCATTATAAAATACCGATAATTATAGATTCAAAACAAAGGCAATATTTTATACGATTTGATCGTGCTGCAAGGGTATGTAAACTATGGCTTTTATAAATATATATTTTATATATATTACTAGGAATAATTTTGCTATGTGGCTTAAATTATAGTAAAAACCATATAGATCTATCTCCTATAGACCTAAACAATTTTAAATCCTACAAAAATAGGAATAGAACCCTCAGTAATTATTTAATTTAATTTAATTTGGACTTTGTTCTCATTAGCAATCTCTAGCTACTACTATATTTTTCCCATTTACAAAGTGTGTGAGTGTGTTGTCGGTGCAAACTTTTCTTTGAAAACTTGAAATGAAATTTGCTCAAATTAAACACGTTGAGCAGCTTCAACTTGTGTCTCAAATTGCCCCCAATTGTTCTCTGGTTTCGGAAAACTCCTCCGATTGGATGTTGGCCCCCCAAGGACATTCGCTTACTTCTCTCCCTGCCCCCGCTCCGATGTCCTTTACCTCAACTCAACTCAACTCGACAGAATCCTGCATCGATGTTGACTGTCTCATTTGCATAATTCTAATATGGAACATTTTTGGCCAGCTCCCTCAACTGTCCACCTACACATGGCCAGAGGAAAACGTTGGATCCCATATATATATATATACGTATACGTATACGTATTTGGGCTTGGTTTTGGGGCCAGGAGATTTGCATAAATAAAACTGTAGTTGCCTTCCTGACTGCCTGCCTGCCACTGTCCTTGTCCATTGCCTGTCAACGTAAATTACGGCCATTTGATTTCGGCAATTACAACGCATTTTTGTGCAACAATTTTTTGTGTTGTGTGTGTGCAGCCTCCCTCTGATTTATACTCATTTTTCGCTTTTATCCTTAGGCAAAGGTAGTGTAATTTTGGGCAGATGTTGTACAGGAAGCTACACATAATAATATACAATTCATACTTTTTCAGATAAATTTATGCCTTGATTCTATTTATCTAACTGAGATTTGCTTGTAGTTACAGAAAGTTTAAGCTAATGACAGGAAAATCACTCTTAAAGTCATAAATCTGTACGAATATCCTGCCAGCTCTTAGTTTGCTTAACAAAAAAGTCTTGTTAGTAAGGGTATTTCCACCTGCGGTTACCAAAAATCTCGCAACTATTCTTTATGGTTACGTTTCTTTTTTCATTTGTTTGTGAGTGTCCTTTTTAGTGGCACGACTTTTGTTTGGCAGAGCAGCAATTTCAATTTAAGCTGCTCATTCAGCTTCGACATGTCGTTGAGCAAGTTAATTATGAGCTTATCCTTGGACTTGTCTGCAGTTGGCTATTTATTTATTGTCGCTGTCCTGTCTGCAGGACTTCCTCTCTCTGATTTTTCCGCCTTTTGTCTGCCATTGTTCGCTGGCATTTTTCCTGCAACCAAGTTCTCGCAATTTGGCACACGTCCCACAAAAAAAAGAAGAAAAAAAATACAAGGTAGACAACCTTGGCCATGAGAAGGACTTTCTATTTATCTACGAGTGTAAGTGTATTTTGGCCAAGTTCCTTGGTCGTCTGTCGACTAGCTTTTGGGGTATTTTTCTATTTTCCTTTTTTTCTTGGTAGCTTGTTGTTATATTTGCATTTTGCGGGCGGAAAATGAAAATGATTATCATTTGTTTTCGTTAAGTTCGGGCTAAAACCAAAATGTCCAGAGCCAACAAGTTGTGGCAGCTCATAAAAATGAATTACGTGCGATGCCATGTCCCAAGGATACTCTAGTTTATCTCTGTTTTTCCTTTTCTTTCTGAGGAATAACTTGAGAGGCATAGATAGAGGGAGTGCCAAAGGAGTGGAAAGGAGCAAGGACCCCCTTATCGTTATAGGGGGACAATTTTTGTCTTGTTTGTGTGATGGTTTTAAAGGAATGCAAATTGAATTCGGTTGGGTAAATTTATGCATTGTAATTTTTTGTAAAATATGCGGTTGATTTAAACCCCTTTTGCATCAGGGAAATTGTTAAAATAATGTATTGAAATGAAGGATAAATGGATGTGTTTCTTAGAAATTACTTTGGGTTTTATTTTTTAATATTACAAGGATTTTTTCTTGGGTTAAACTGAAATACGGAATGAATAGGTACATTTTTATAAAGAATTGTCAAAAATATTAAACAAAAATTTTATATAATAATATTTATATTTAATTTTGCATTCAATAATATATATAAATATAATTATCTGTCCGATTTCAAAGCACTTACTTA